AGGTGAATCATTGCAGTTGTTAAGTTAGTTACACGTTTGTGAAGTGAAGCTGGCCTCCCCATTGACTTTGCTTGACAGAAGGTTGCCAAAGAGGATCACATGACCCCAGGACTCTGCAACCGTCATAAGTATGAATCAATGGCCAATTTTGAATTTTGGATCACGTGACCACAGGGATGCTGCAATTGCCATAAAGTGTGAAAAATGGTCATAAGTCACTTTTTCCTGTGACCTTGTCACTTTGAATGGTCACTAAATGGACCGTTGCAAGTCGAGGGCTCCCTGTAGCACCACCAGTGACTTTTTCTATCACCACTGAAATGCGGACCAGATTTTCCTTCCAACAATGTTTTTGCAGTAAATTGCCTCACAATCAGGAGGCTATTGAATTCGATCCCAGGCAGGTATTTCTCTCTCTGGGCATAGCACAATGAGTAATTATCTCCTGGGAACTCTGCATTGGCAACAGGAAGGGCATCCGGATAGTAAACTCAGCTTTATTCAGTTGCCAGGACTCCATCCCACCATGGGCTTATTAAAAGACAATTTCAAAAAAAAATCTTTGCAATGAATAAAGTTTGTGAGTTGCACTGAGTTAATGGAAGGGGGACCAAGCATTGATTTTTGAGTCATTGGCATTGAGTGACTATTGTGGAGAGTAAACAGAAGAAAATTAAGCAAGGTGTACTGCATCCGAAACACCTTGTCCCGAAACAGTTTAAGAAAAAAAAAAGCATTAGGAAGAACCTAGAGTTCCGGGGGTCGAAGTTTCCCAGTATCGCTTCTCGCAGTGCTCCAGTGGCGCAATCGGTTAGCGCGCGGTACTTATACAGCAGTACTAAGCAATGCCGAGGTCGTGAGTTCGAGCCTCACCTGGAGCAGGGCTTTTTATTGTTATTACTTGGGGGAGCTTTCTAAACTCAGCCCATAATATGACAATGCTGCACGTTCAGCTTTGGGTTCTTGGCTTTTTTTAAAGTGTCAGTTTAAAAATGTCAAAGCTATTAAGCAATTCCGGATTTTGACAGTTCCAGTTTTCCTGTGTAAAGAAAACTGGAATTTCTGGAGGGTTTGTTTCCCCAATAAATAAGTAAATAAGTAAGTGCTATTGCTTGCCTTAGGAAATGAGGGGGGAATAATGGAGATATAGTTTGTTTTTTCTCTGCAGAGCCACAGCTGGGAATCTGCCTTCTTCTAGAAATTGGTAGTATTGTAAAATTTCCAGTTTTATCTTCCACACTGCCCCCTGTTTATCTTTAAAAGGTGTCAACCTTGCTTGACACCATTTTTTAAAAAAAATCTCCCAAATGCAAATACATTTCTAGAGGTGGCAAGTTCTGCAATGAATATTGGTGTTTAAAAGATGGGAATGGACTTTTGCAATCTATATCATGTTTAACTCTGTTATTATTCTTTAAAAGAAAAATGACATTGTCCTGTTAATTTTAAACTTTTTAAAAGTATTGAAAAGGAGAGTAGCCAGTACGAGAATCGAACCAGTGACCATGCATACCTGCTCATTTTAACGCTTTGTGGGGAGAAAAAAAGGGGGTTGGAATTATATTAATGTCTTCCACAATGACCAAAATTATTTGCAACTTGCAAGAAGGCCCTCAAACTTCAGGTTGAAGACAGAACTGCCCAGGGTTTCAACAAAAGAAAAGCTTGTTTTATAAAGGACGTATCTATAAAAAAAGTCTATGGAATGAATTGGCATGATTGTCAGAAATACAAATAGTACGACACCATGCTGTGGATTTATTAAAATATATTAATGCTGCTACAGTACTGTTTTAATTATATTACTGAGGATAATACACATTGGATATGACTAGAAGTACAGTAAGACTTTAAAATGTATTTTACTGGGTGTGTTGCAGAGTTCCCTTTGAGTGATAAAGTTGTGCACACTCATGCAAATTCCTAGGTTTAACTTCAGTTCTTGGATCTCCAGGTAAATGCTAACTTTAGCTTAGGAAACCAATGAGTGCCATTTGAGACCCGAATTTTCATTAGAACAAATCAAAATGATGATTATATAACTTCATCTAAGCATTCAAATTCAGTAAATCTATCATCATTATTTCTGAAGGGCAGATTGCACATGTCTTATTGACATCAGATCATGTTTCTTATTTCAGATAATATCTATTAAGGAGACCTTGATTGATTTATAATGAGAATGGAGTATATTCATACAGTAAATCTCTTATTTAAATCCCAGCACAAACCTTCCGTTAGCAGATTGTTTTGTAGAATACTATTGAAATACCAGTTCTTTTGAACATTTTAGAATTAGGCTTATATTCAAACCCTTCTAGCAAAATAACTTAATAATAATAATAAATCAGAATCATCATGAAATGAAGACCAGTACAGAAAGTTCTTGTACATTCTAACCACCACAATTGACTCCAAAATTTATGTTGCTAAGCCAGACATTTGCAAACGAGACAATCAACTAGCCCAAAAGAGAACAAAAAGTTTCTAGCACCTCTCAACCAGTCAGTGGCACTCAGATCAGCATAGATCAGTGGCTAACCTTTTTAGCACTGAGTGCTGAAATGGGAGCATGTGCGCACGTGCTGGAAACTGGAAGAGCAGCTCCCCGATGCATGTGCATGGGAGTGCAGGAAACCAGAAGCTTAGCTTCCTGGCATGTGCACGCGTGCTGGCTATCTGGTCTTCCAGTTTTTAACGCATTTGTGTGCGCGAGACCAACTGGCCAGCATGTGCATGCACTCTGGGAAGTTGCTCCTCCAGTTTCTGGCGCTCCTGCATGCACGAAAACCAGCTGGCCAGCATGCATGCATGCATTGGAACCCAGAAGAGCAACAGCTGGCATGCCTCGAGAAATGGCTCTATGTGCCACTTCCGGCACACATGGCATAGGTTCGCCGTCACGGGCATAGATCAATTCCAAGGTTAACTTCAGACCAACAATTAAGTAACATTGATCCCCTTTTGTGACCTTCTGATGAGCAAAATCAGTGGGATTCCCTTAACAAATATGTGACTGACTTAGCAGCTGCAACAATTCACTTAACAACAGTGGCAAGAAGAGTCATAAAATGGGGCAAATCTCCCTTCACAAATGTTTCACTTAGTGACCTAAATTCTGGGCTTGATTGTGGTCATAAATCAAGGACTGCCTGTATGAGCATGCCATTTTTCATTTTAAAAAACCTAGTAATTTGTGTCAATGGCACCTCAAGGAAGTTCAAGCACCCCCCGAAGAGATTCTTAGTTTTTACACACACAAATCCTGAGCCCTGTTCAGAATCTTGCTGGACTAACTTGTTTTTAAATTACTCAACAAATGAAAGAAACATAACTACAAGAACAGATAGGCTAAGAAAAGAGCTTCTATCCCAGAGCAGTAACTATACTGAATTCTACTGTGTAGTGTAATATAAATGCAATTTCGGGGGTTTTCAGTTCAATTGGGTGGAATGTGAAGAATGTGTGTTTGTGTTTTATTTTTATAGTTATAACTAGCTCGATACCCATGAGTCGCTGTGAAACTATGTGGTCGGGCTTTTGGGGCGGGGGGGGGAATAAGGGGGTTAGGGTGAAATTTCTGGCTCTGCCTACCAGCATCCATCGGTATTCATCTGGCTAGTGTCCTGTCAGTGTGTGAGAGAGTTGAGGGCTGTTTGGAAACTGAAACAGTATTTGCTGTGTGAGCAAGGAGACAGCAAGGAGCCTGGGCGTGGCTTAGCTCAACTGTTCTGTACTAAAGCTGTTTGCTGCTGTGAAAGTGAAAGTGAAACTCCTCTGCTTATATTTTGCATTTGGAACAGAATTCTTTTCAGGTGGGGAGGAGGAGTAGAACTCCTTGGCATCAGAGTGTGTTAATAATAATAATAGAGGAAATACTAATGCTCTGATGGTCATTTCGAAAAATCCTTTCTTAGTGAGCACCTAGAAGTCAAGAGGAACATACATGCCAAATTTCAAGTTTGTAGGCTTTACGGTTCTGGAGATTTTGTGATGATGTGTGAGTGCTCTTTCGCTTTTATATCTATAGATGTACCCTGAAGCTGGAATTTAATTTTGTTGTACGAGGTACAATGACAATAAAGTAAACCAATTACTGTAAATAGCACATGCATTCTCACTAGTAATATAACAGAATTCAGTATTTTTCGCCTGCAGGGTGCGGTAACTTTCCCAGAGATCGAGATACTTGTGAGTACCTTACATAACACAGGCAAAAATAGAGAACAGCAGAAAGATCAGAGTTGTTAAGGATCAGAGTAATTATTCAAGCTAATCTTAGACACTGACGAGGTGGCCGAGTGGTTAAGGCGATGGACTGCTAATCCATTGTGCTCTGCACGCGTGGGTTCGAATCCCACCTTCGTCGTTGTTTCTTTTTTTTAAAGATTCAAGCTATGATTAAAATAGACCCAGTCCGAGGGTATATTAGAGACTAAAGAGATTATACACCCTACCTATATTACACAGCACCGGTCATTAATGGGTAGTAGTTGGCTACTCTAGCGCTGCCTGGAACTCCCCCAGTCCAAATTTGAATTTCAACATACCTTTCGCAATGTACCACATGCAATCATTTTGCACGGGTAATTTTGATTTTTTTTAAATCTCCGCTGATCAAACCAGCCAACTTTGTAAAACCACAGAAATGGACATATGCATTAGGCAAGATTTGCAAGAATAGTGTCGCGCTGCAAATATCTGGCTTTAGAAGAGGAGCAAATAAAAAATTAGATGTAAATGGAAACCATCCAAACCAAGAGACTGGGATCATCCCTTATAGAATGAAGGCTACAGGAAACGTTGCAAGTAATAATCCCACTAAGAATGGGATCAGATTATTAGATTTGAGCATCATATTACCCTTTCAGGAGTTAAATGGACATTTTTTAAACACTGAAAATCAGAATGAAGCCAGCTCTTTTCCGGAAGCGGTGAATGGCTCTTAAAAGAGCCGTTTAGCACGATTGCATTTCCAGTCTCCCTTCGAGACTGGCTTTTTACGCCCTCTCCCCGCGGATGCGTCGGGCCAGCTGGATGTCTTTGGGCATGATGGTGACGCGCTTGGCGTGGATGGCGCACAGGTTGGTGTCCTCGAAGAGCCCCACCAGGTAAGCCTCGCTCGCCTCCTGCAGAGCCATGACGGCCGAGCTCTGGAAGCGCAGGTCGGTCTTGAAGTCCTGCGCGATTTCGCGCACCAACCGCTGGAAGGGCAGCTTGCGGATCAGCAGCTCCGTCGACTTCTGGTAGCGGCGGATCTCGCGCAGGGCCACGGTGCCCGGCCGGTAGCGGTGAGGCTTCTTCACGCCGCCCGTGGCCGGCGCGCTCTTCCGCGCAGCCTTGGTGGCCAGCTGCTTGCGGGGCGCCTTCCCGCCGGTCGACTTGCGAGCCGTTTGCTTGGTGCGAGCCATCCTTCCTCTAAGCGCTCCGTCACTTTAACTCCTCCACGCCGGATTCGAATGAAGCGAAGCGCGTTTTCGCGGCCCTTCTTTTAAAGCCGGTTCGCTCTCCTCGATTGGCTAGGAAAGAAAGACGCGTTCGGAGGTTCGGGATTCGTCGGGGATTGGTCAGAATTAGAAAAGGAGGCGAGGCCCAGAATACTAACCACGTGTCAATGTAACGGGTTAGCAGAGTTAGAAGGGAAATAAGGCGACATGTTCTGGTAGTGGCAACAATCAACCAAAGGAACAGAAGTTGCCTTCGGAAGTTGTGGGAGCTTCATCACTGGAGGCTTTCAAGAAGAAACTGGACTGCCATCTGTCAAAAATGGTGTAGGGCCTGAGGGGTGGTGGTTGGACTAGATGACCTTCCAACTCTGGTAATCTGGATCTGTATCGGTACCTTGCAGACCCTACACCATTTCTGACAGATGCAGTCCAGTCTCTTCTTGAAAGCCTCCAGTGATGAAGCTCCCACAACTTCCGAAGGCAACTTGTTCTGACTGTCAAAAAGTTTCTCTGTATTTCCAGGTTGAATCTCTCCTTGATCAGTTTCCATCCATTATTCTGTTGGAAGAAATATCCTTCTGGGTTCATTTCCAAGTGGGGAAAAAGATACTGGAAACATGGAGGCTGTTTGGAAAAATGATTTAATGAATAGTTTATGGTTTATGAATAGGCTGGCCTGGATAACTTAATGGGCACAAAATATCCATTTCTAAAGACTTCAGGCATCTGCTGGGGGCTGTTTCCTATAGCAGGAAGGTTGAGGCTGCTTTCTGCCTTTAAGAGCATGTTTCCCCATTTCTCCTGTGGGGAAATATAATATTCTGCCTCTTAATATTCCTCAAAATATTTCATTCTTGGGTCATGATGGGGAGGCTTCCTACAGCAATAATGAACTGAACTGAAAAAGCTTCTTGGATGAGAAGTGAAACATCTTCAACATCTTCCTTTTGAAAAAGCACTTTTGGGACAATTATAATAATGACACCAATATGAGGGAGTAACAGGAGATGGGATTTTGTGAAACATTGTTAAACGGGTTGTTTCATCCAGTCTGTACATGCCTGTTAATAATTAAATAAAACTTCTTAAGTAATTTGATAAAACTTCTTAAGTTTGTGTTATTAATGCATTAAATACTAGGGCAATCTTGAGAAGCCTCCAACTTGAGTCAAAGGTGACTAATAAATGCAGAAGATCGCCCTAGATGGTGGATTCTGAAATGTAAATATGGAAGCATTGATAAAGTTGGGCTCCTGACCACAATAAAGGGGAAGAGAAGGGGAAAAAAACCACACCCAATTACATAGTTGGCAGGATTTGAACATGCGCGGGGAAACCCCAATGGATTTCTAGTCCATCGCCTTAACCACT